AGACATAATACATAAAGAAAGACCACAACACATAGTTTTTAGACTAAAAGATGTAAATTTACACAAAAGAATGAAGGTGAATGAGGATGTCTATTTGTTTGACATCAATGTTCTTCCTCTTTTATTCAGTTTGTTTGTGTTTTTGTTAACAAACATAATTATAAAAAAATTTATTGTGGTGAATGAAATAATAATTTGATCTAAGTAAGTGTTGTTGTTTTTCTTCCTGATTTGTAAAAAATCCTTACATGATAGAAAAAAAGTATTATTATTTTTGAAATCTGTGTACCTAAATTATGGAAAATCTATTATTACAACCAAAACGACTTTTATGAAGTTTAAATTCACAGCCCTGTTTAATCAGTTGTGAATTGAAATACACTTGCACTTTCCTGCACATTAATTAACAAATGCTGCTTTATATATATCCACTGTTTTGAGGTACATGATGGATTCTTCTTAGTAAAGATACATAGATAACAAAATGTTGTCATACATTTATGGAGATACACATTATCTTAAAGTAAAGAATTAAAAATCATTATTTTCTGTAAAGCTCTTTCTCTGATATTATCAAATCTAGTAAAAATCATAATGGTTTCTGCACACTTTGTCATCAGCTTGTCAGTTATACCTTATCAACATGTGCTTCTTTTGATCATGATGTTTAAATTATTAAGTAGAAGGTGAAATCTTAACTGTGTGACCTTCACATGTTCATACAACTGTTATTAGTAAAGTTGCTTAAGAAAAACACAGCTTTGTTTTGATTCACAGGAGGCCATAGTAAATAATAAGATTATTAAGATAGATACTTGATACAGAGCAACTGTGTGTTCTGTAGTTTTATTCTTTTTCCAAAGGTTAATTCTTTTTAAATGCATCACAAGTAGTAAATGGTTATTAGCTTATTGTTTATTTTTAAAAAATGTTGGTAATTTATAAAGATCAGTTGTATTAGTATGCCTTGAATGAGTTAGAATAAAGTTTCACTAGAAAAAAAAGGTGCAACATTGTTTAGGTTCAAAGCACAAGATTTATCTGTTTGGGTACTTTATTCACATTGTCCAGATGATTAGTTTGTGTCTGAAAACATGACAGAGATAAATGTATAAACACAAACATGTTCTACTACAAAATATTGTAACTGAGCAATTGGTAATTAGGTTTTAGAAGTATGAAGAAGTTTTATCATAATTTGTTGTTTGGATTCTTTCAAAAGAAATCAGGCAGGTGGTGTGCCATGCATGTACGAATTGCCTGGGAAATCTACAACCACCAGCAACATGGCTCTAGTGGTAAACTTCCTTCTGATCTTTTACGACCTCCTACTCATTTACTTCCTTCCTTGGCTCGACCACATGAATTCTCTCCATTTGCTTCTTCACTACTGCCAACTTCTGGTAAGGATTATTTTGTTTACCCTCAATACTATCAACATAATGTAATCTTTACTCAACTTCTTGCTTTCCTCAATGTCATAGTATTTATGTTCACCATTGTTCAGTTACTAATATTATAGCTGTTTAGTTTTTATTGTGTTAGTTTTGTTTTTTTATTATTTGTTGCTGTCATGAAAAACTGCTTAACGTATTTAAAATAAATAACTATTTGACTGAAGATGAAGTAATTTTAAATCAGATAATTTTACTGATTGGCAACTACCATATACTAGACTTTTTTATTTTTAATCATATACTATAAACATTTTTTTGACTTAGAGCCTAGAACCAAGAAATTCAATCCAAGTCATGTGCTAATTTAGCTCTTGATGTTATTCTATAACAGGAATCAGTATCTATAATCTTCAAGGATTGCCTTGAGTGAGAGATTAGCTTAGAATCATTGCTTTCAAGAAGAGAGTTGTGTCAGTTTTGAAAGGGTCAATACCTGTCATGACGGGTGCATATTTGTCTTGGTCTTTTGTTGCATTTGCTAACAATGTGTTAAGGTGGTGTATGTTAATTTTAACACAATTTGTCTTCTGCTTAAGTTAATTTAGTTTAATTTATATTCTGTTTATTTAACATTCAATTTGACTATGTCAACTTAGTGAAGTGTAAGGCAGTTGATGAGTAAGAGTAGTTGTATTTGTCAAGCTTCTCTGCCTCTTCTTTTGCACCACCAACCATCTCTTTATATAGGGTAGTTTACTTTTGTGGCATTATTTCTCTAAACCAGGTATACCACTCAGTTGTTAGTCAAATACTTATTTTCATGATCAGCTAATAACTAATTAGTCATTTTGGTACACTTGATTTAAAAAGTATGGTTCTATCTTAAGTTTTAAACGTAAAGCTTACAAGAAGTTTTGTTTCTGCAAACTTAGGGGAGACATTATTTTATACTGTTTTTTGGTTTCTAATTTAAATGTATGTTTAATTTTTAGAAAGATGAAAAGCATATTAAGGGGCTTACACTGTGTATAATTATGCTTATTAGGTGTTACTAATATATTTTTGGTTTTTTCTACACCTTTTTTTTAGTTTCCAGTCACAGTAGGTCACTGTATGAAGGATCACATGCTAACAGTTTCCTTAGTCCAGTGCCACATATAGGTATGTTACTCATAATTTTCATACTTGTGAACATTTTTAATTACATTTGGATATACATCTTGAAATAGATCAGGATTTCAGTTAAGTGTCCATATGATTTTGAGCTTGAAATCTACTGGTACTCAAGTTCCACTATTCCACTTCAATTTTCCACATTAATTATAATTATTTTCAAACTAGATGACAGCAGAATCTTAGTTTTACTTATGATAAATATATATTATTATGGTAAATTAAAAAATTATAAAACTTATAATGCACGTAATTATGCTCAGTAAGCTTAGTATCATAATTTAATGTCTAGGCTGAGGTGTAGAATTTGTTGTTATCAGATATTATCATAGTTTGTTACATTTAGAAACCTGGATAACAAAATAAATCTATGGTTGATACTTTGTTCTCTTTCTATTGTAAATTTGAGAGTTTTAGCATCAAATTTCTCACTTGATTGAATGTATCAGTGTTTCAATGCTGTAAAACAAGATTAAAGGTTAATCTCCCATTCCTTCTTAAAAACAACAACAACAACAATGGATTATGACAGTTTGAAAATTCAGTATTTAATATATTGTATTAGGTAATGTACATGAAAATTCAAATTAAGGATTTATATTGTGCCCTAATTACATCTACAAATAGTATAGGACAAAATCACGGGTTAAAATATAGGTGTTTTTGATATTTGTCATTTCTATAAAATCATGCATGTATATAATAGCAACATAAAAAATATATAAAAACATATATAAACCAAACAACATCAAATATATACTCAAACACTTTCCTCTCTATGTATTTTTCTATTGATGCTCCTATCTTCAAAATATTTCTTTCAATCAGTCGATGGATGAAGTCTCATTTTTTCGTGAAATTACCTCACTAAAAGAAAGAGTTTTGTTCTTAATAATTTTTTTTCTCAGGTTGACTGTTTAGACTAAGGTATCAATGTTGACATTGCAAAGAAATTTTAGGAATTGCAAGAAATATACAATTTTCCTGTAATGTACTCTTGAAAAGAAGAATTTTTTCTACTATTAACTGTTCAGGAGAAACAGAGTGTAATAGACAGACATTTGGCTATTATTTATATACAGATACTTGAAAAGCTTGTATAAGATGGAAAGTCTTGTGAATTTGAAATGTCTGAAAAAATTTACTTTGTAATTATATATATATTCCAGAAACTGTATATATTACTGGAAAGAGAATTCTTTATTAAACTGTGGTTGCATTGCATCTTCCATTAAAAAATTATCAATTTGTTTGAATACTTATGTACCTCATAATATTGGATGAAAATAAAAACACAGTTTTAACACTTGTCATCAATACAAAAAATTTATTATTGGATTCTATTGTTCATTGTCATATACATGTATATGTAGTGGATACAGTTAATATAAGGAAAGGCTAAATAAACATTTGAATGGTAAGGGTTGGCTTTGAGTGTTCTATACTGTATTGTTTAAGTTTAGCTTAGTGGATGGGATGGCCTAGAAGTACCAACAGGTCCCTTTTGCTCTTAAATTAAATGTATAATATGTGCGTGTGTGTGTGTGTATATATATATATACACACACACACACACACACACATAGTAACCCACAATAACCGTTACACTAATAGTTTATGACAAGTAAGTTTTAATGTAGAAAACACCATTCTGACGACAGCAGCATTGCATGGTTTATGTCTTAGCATACAATAAGCTGTAACAGAATAATGCAATTATGTTAAAGGGTTGGAGATGGTTTGTTTGGGTAAAGTATCCACTTAAGAAAGGTTTAGCTTGTGTGGGCAGAATGCAAGAGTGTCAATAATTAACTCGGCTAGTTTATTGCTTATGTAGTATTTATACGTTGCAAGTGATACAGATATCAATTTCTTGAGTAGGTGTTTCACCTTTTGGTCGTCCTGGTTATTCAGCATTTGGGAGTGGACCTTCTAGCTCCTATCCTGAACTTGGACCTCTAGGTTTGTATCAAGATTTATCATTATTTAAAATTATTTTGACAAAGATATTTTTCTTTACAGAAAAAAACTGAATATTTAGGAAACGACATAGAAGTATTTATAATAAATACTCTTCTAGATCACAAAACAAGTAGGTTTATAACCTAAGCCCTTTCAAATGGGTTAGCATGGATAAATGAAGAATAAATAGGAAGAGTGAAAGTTAGTGATCTTCAGGAATATCATAACTCTACCAACTTACTATGAAAACATAGAAATGTTTAGGTTAGTTTTCAATAGGAGTGTTACATGTATAGGTATATTTAAAACAAATACAGGAATGAGGTGATAAAAAGTATTATAAGAAATAAAATAATTAGAGGGGAGAAATGAACTAGAGATATGGTTATGGATATATTACAAGAGTAATATGAAAACAAAATGTTCATCAGATAGTTTAAGATAAATATTTATATGGATAAAGATTAAAAAGACATTATTAATTGGAATGAAAAAATAATTTTAAAAGTAAGCAGTTAAATACAGAGAGGTTATAAAGAAAATTCCATACTGTATTTCCTGGTGTATAAGACGATACTTTTTCTCTTAAAACAATGCCTGATTTCACCCCTCATCTTGTACATAGGTTCAAAGATAGAGTTCCAGTAAGAACTCTCTGGTTAAAAGTATATTTAACCAAAACTACATTGTTCCTTTTACTTTGTTTGCTTTATTGAGTAAGTGCATTGACATCATGCCACAATATTGTAATTGTATCATTTGTCTCGCTTCTTCATAACTAGAAGTTATTTATCTCACATGCTAGTTACAATTAATTAAGATACTGTTACAACAGCAGAAGTCGCGTGACGGTGGGAGCATGCACGCTGTAGTTTCTCGAATTATCGAGGAACCCCACGAATGTCCGAGTGTTTGCTAGACGCCTTCTTTTTTAGTATATAAGCCTGGTGAGAAAAACCATCGGGGATTGGAGAGATAGCTAATTGGGTCAAGCAAACAATATGCACTGTAAGTAAAGTGTGTGAATCACTGTGATTTATAGCATGTGTTTATAGCAAGTTGTTAAGTTAAAGTGACTGTAGAAATTCTGTGTATTACTAAAAGTTATATCGAGAAAGAATAAACTGGTTTAATCAAGAAAGGACTTGTATCCCTGAAGTTTCTCAGAAATAATTTCTACTGGAAATTAACAAACAAGCAGATACGTAACAATACTTTTGATTTGAAATGTATTGATCTCATCTGTCATACTAAATATTGCTAATATTATATCTAAAAAGTTAGTTTCTGTAACATACACTAATTTTGTAAACATGTTTTTATAGTAGACCACAATATCTTAAGGTTTATTATTTTTTGTAATAGTAAAGGAGCTCAACTGTAATGAAAACTTTGTAATATTGTATATTACATGTTTGTGGCTTAAGTTAGGCTGCATTGAGCTATCTGTAGTGTTTGAAGGGCATAAAGAACCATACTTGATTTTAGGTGAATAAAAATTTCACCAGTGCCACAATGAAGATTCTAAGTGCTATTTATGAAAATATGGACATAGTGCATGATCTTTCAAAACCAAATTATACTGCATACTTAAATTGCTTTTATTTATCTTGGGCCAAGCACAGCCCAAAGGTTAGTGTGCCAGACTGTGGTTATGTGGGTCCATTATTCCCATCCATTTAGCTGAAAAACAAAACAAAATCATGCTCTGGACTTTGGGGTTTGAATGCATTATAAATCCTACAATTCGGTCAGGCAAGAACAGCCTAAGAGTTGATGTTGACTAGCTGTCTTCCCTTTAGTCTGTCAGTTCAAACTTGGGGGGTGGCTAGTGCAGAGTTTGCCTGACAAGCTTTGCACAAATATCTGAAAACAAACAAACAATTTATTTCTCTTCTCTCTCTCTCTCTAATAGGCTTGAGATTATTCATTTAAATGAATTAATAAAATAGGTATTTATAGTATAATAACAAATCAATTCTTATTTCAAGTTTACCAGTGAGGATTAAGAAGTAATTAAGATTACTTGTACTTGGTAGTTTGCATAGTGTTGATTGAAACATTTAATTTTTCTAACTCATATTTAGTTTTCTATGTGTAAATGATAATTGCAGGGCTTGGTGGTAGAGAGTTAGCTACTTCAAGTGTTTCTGGCTTAGCAGGACAGGATCCATGGATCCAAATTCATAGAAACTCCCACACCTTTGGACCCATATCTGCAGGGACTAACCACATTCCCTGGGGAGGTTTGAAGGCAGAAGCAGAAAGAGAACGAGAAAGAATGCAACAGGAAGAAAGAGGACTGCATCGAGAGCAAGAAAAAGAAAAACACAAGAAAGCAGAAGTGGAAAAAGAGCGAAAGGAAAAAGAAGCTATGCAGAAGAGTAAAGAATTGGAAAGGTTGGTGTAATAGTATGTAAAGTAAAAAGGAAAGAAATTTACTCAATAAATTGTTGTAGGTGACATTTTAGATTTTAGTCAAAGTGTAAGAATTTAATTCCCCTAGGTATGGTTTATCAATAAACAACAAAACACGTCAAATGAACAACCAACTTGCACAGAACTTTATTAGAGAAATTTTTGTAAATACAGAAACCACAATATGTACAAGAAAAATCCAAGTGTCTTACAATCATATGACAATTCCAACTTATTTTCATTTTTAAAGATTACTTTTAAATCAATATAAGCTCTATGGTTTAAAACATATCTTTAAACATGAAAATGAATTACAACTTTTTTTTCATACTCAAAGATAAAGTATCACGTTTGAAAAGATCTAATGTTGTGAGTACATCAATTACTAATGACCATTGATCACATCAATTAGTATCCTGTAAAATAACTGATTAATCAAAACTATGATTAAATCAATTATTGTCACAAAATAATCAACAAATCAAAATTGATGTTTTCAATAATTTCAACTATCCAAATAATAAAAATATTATCATTATGATTTCTCATTATTATTTTCGATTAATTCAAAGTTTTTCAGCTTAATCGATTAGTGTCATGACTCATGAAAATAATCAACTAATCAAAATCAGTGTTCCAATAATTACTATTTTCAATTATTACAATTATACAAGTAAATCAAATATTACCTAATTAATAAAAATAATACACCATTTAAACCAAAATTATTTTTGCTGCAAAAACAAAGATATTTTGCTACAGGTGTTGGTGTTGTCATTTAAAAAGAATGTTACTTTAAAATTGACTTGTACGTGTTATAACATAATATTAAAGGACAACAAGGGATCTTTTAGTCCATGTAGGCCATCCTATCCATTACATTAAGCACTAAAAACTCATAGCGAGCCCTTATGATTCAATTATTTATCAAGCTTTTCTATAAAGTCCCTTAAATTAACTACATCCATCACTTCTCAAGGCACCCCATTCCAAAAGCAAACCATCTTGTTAGAAAAATAAAGCTGTCTTAGCTGAAGATGACTTCTAACCTGCCAAAATTTATATTTCTGTCTCCTAGTCTTACCATCCTCACCATTAAGTATGAAAAAATCTTAGAGAAATGGTGCCAAAGTGAATGCGAGCAACTGTAGTGTGGGGTCCAAGGGCCCACCTTAGGGATGCTTCCAGAAGCTCTATGCTTTTGTGTAATCTGGAATAAAGAAATGTTCCTAAAAATTACTCGAAAATCATCTTGTATACTTTCAATGCTAAATGTTCATAAGTGGGGTTTGAAATTATACTTCACATTGCAAGAAATCAAACTAACAAACTTCCTATTTGTGGGCTAAAATTGTCAGGACATTTTTTTTTTACTTTCATTGAAGAGGACATGACCCTCTTTGTCTTCCCCTCCTGGATCCACCAGTGCTCCTCAATACCAGCAACACCCAAGAACTTAATGTCATCAGCAAACTTAAATAATCTGTTGACCATTCCTTTATCTATATTGTTACGTCTCTGGTCATTAGTTAATTTTCCGTAAAAATTCTTTCCGAAGAAACTTTAG